TACGCTGTTCGTGCTCATTTCTCCGAGTGCAACTACTTTTTCCTTCAGTGTTTAGTGCAGTAGGCTCGTACATTCAAGCTCCACAGTGGCAAACACATACACAAGCGTGTTTTCTGGATTCGTCCGTCATGACCACTTGCCCCTTGACAAGCGCCTCGGCCAAGTTATCGGTAGGTGCTTCCCGTTCGCTGAATACAAGTTCTACGAGCGTAGCTTTCGCCGTTCCCAGGATTTTGCAGTGGAACTGGTGTAAGACTACGAGCTTGGCAGCCGAAGCATGATGTTGTGCCGATATTTCTTGCCTTTTACGCATGCCGCTCTTGTCTGAACATTCCGCCTTTTTGAAAAGAAAAAAAAAAGAATGAGATGAGTATTCACTAGTGTTGAATGCTTGGAGGACGCTTGAGCTTACTTTGCAAGAGCTGAACACGTACAGCGTAATCGGTCCCGGGCGTATATCTTTTTGTTTCTCTAGAAGCTTCGACTTCTCGTGCATTCATTAGCTGCGCCATACGGAAACGTCGTACACGCGCTTAACAGTGGTCGTTGAAAATTACCCTCTAATGCCTATATACTACAAGTAAATAACTTATGAATACCCACTGCGTCAATGTACTCTAAGATACAGTTGCGCAGTACCCCCCTTGCCGTAATTCTTCCTTTTGCTAATCAGTGAAGGACCCAGTACTCGTTGTTTAAGCACCGGGCGAACCTATGGTGATTTTCACTTTGTGGATGGTTTTGATGACAATGATAAGAGAAATTGTATTGGCACTTTGTAATAGGTGGGTCTCGTATATCACGTGAATAAAATTAACTTCGTGTTGAGTACTAGACGTGCGAAAACCACCAGCTAGCACTAAGCTGTCATGTATGACAAACACCACTTTGAATATGGCGACAAACTGCCATTCGGAACTAACTAAACGTGCAAACACTCCACCGGTGAAGGTTTCTTTGTATGCGGTAAACGGCGAGGTTAACTAACTGAATTCCCAGAGAAGGTAAGAGGGTTAGGGGGAGACGGAAGGTTAGGTGGGCAGTTGAGATCAAGAAGTTTGCGGGTATAAATTGGCAGCAGCAAGCACAAGACAGACGAGGGATAAAGAGGCGCCGCTTTAAAGAGCTGCGCCGCCATAGTTCAGTACCAAGTACTCAAAATCGTTAAACATTTTTTTCTAAACAGACAGAGTTAACTGGCGGAACATGGGAGAGGCATTTGTCCTGCAGTGGACGTAGTCAGGCTGATGATGATGATGATGATGATGATGATGATGATGATGTTGAAACGGCGAGAGTGCGTTCTGTGGGCGCCACGGCTCAGGGCATGTTTTCATCATGATTACAAGGTAAGCGATGGCTTTGCAGTACGCTGCTGCGAAACGCCATGAAATGCCTATAAGAAACCAGCGCTGCAGCTTCCGTGGTCGCTCTAACCTTCGAAGCGCGCATATACCAGCCGCTCCCGCTGTCGTAATCCGTTTGCAGAACTTATTTCCAGTGCCTTCTCGAGAAAGTAGCTTCAAGATAAAGGGGTATCCAGTGACAAAGTAGGCCACACTGCAGTATCGTGTGCGCAAGGGGCTGCTCGTGCCAAAACTAGCACAGAAACAGTTTGAGCTCTCGTAGCGGTATACACTGCGTCCGCTCGTCTGCGCGAGTGGACTGAGTTATGTCGAGACTCTCTTCCGGGATCCATAGAGAAACATGCTTACATTAAGAGCGGACACTCCCGTAGGGCCTTGCGGCCCAGCTACTACGATGCTTTTAGCGCCACTAGTGGCTGGCCAGACCCGATATTGTCTTTTGCATAAGTAAAAAAACAAAGCTTTTTTTTTTCTTTCCAAAGCTGGGATTTGAGCCCACACCCCGCTTGCTCCGAAATCGAGTGTCTTTACCACTAGGCTACACACCTTTATTTTTTTTAAAAAAAAGGATCACACACCCATCCGTGCACGAAAGGAATACATCTGCAGCACATCTAAAGCCACCTGATTTTGTGCCCTTTGTGCAAAATAAATACAGACAAACAACACTTTTTAGTCAAAATTTACTGATTTTTGTGGTGAAGCATTAAACGTTCCCAGTAGGACACGTTGTAAAGCGGATGTGCGAAATTGCACAAATCAATAATTTCTTCTTTGCAAATATTTGATGCCAAACTTATGTTTTCATTGACCTCCTGAGGTGGCTATTATATGCCGCGACATAAGTGTGGAAGCGAACATGCGAGCCATCTAGCAGTTGGTAAGAGCCTATCTTGCTGGGCCGCGAAGAGGCTGGAGTGGCCACTCTTTATATAGTATGTTTCTATATGCGGGGCCCCTTATCACCGCGCCACTTACCTAGCTTTGGGGAACTATTCTCGTGGTATCCCATAGGCGACCAGTGAAAGAGCGAGGGATTGTGGGATTCACCGTTTGCTGCCGGCTTCCAGCTCAAGCAGAGGAGACAACGGCGAACCACTCCGCTGTAAGCCTCAGATCATTCGGGATTCGCGGGCGCGATCGCCCGTTTATCTGCGTCCTGCTAAACCATGGTCCGTTGTTCAACCACTGGCTGCTCCAAACTAAGCGTAAAATGCAAACGGTGTGTATCGGTATATATCAATTGCTATGAAACGAAAAAGAGAAAATGAGGTGAGCCGTGGCTGTGAAGAGAGCCACAGCGACAGGTAGTCTTTGAGTACCGAACTTTGGAGCCAGAGTGTGCAAAGACCATTTTAGCGCAGGTAAGTGTGTATTCCGCACTGATAAAAAGTTTACGCACGCATTCGCTGTGAAGAATATATTGAGAACTAAATTGTCGCATAGGCGTGCCTAGCAAAGATATTTTGGGAACGTGCGGGCGAAGCCTACCTGCCATACGAGGTGAGCGCCGGTGATTGCCCCCATATATATGACAAAAAACGCGAAAGCTTCACTCAAGAGTGAGTCAACACGAAGCACTGGACGAGTCTGTTTGCGTTTATCTTGGTCAAACTGTGCGTCAAGATGGCACACAGAGGAAGAGGTGCGTTAAACAAGCACAGGGTTTCGATTCTTCGGAGCCGTCTATGTCTGACTGTATTGTTTAGGCGCCACTATGCCGCGCTGCTTGAACAACATCAGCGTTCAAATAGGCATCTGGCTTCGACTAAGAAACGCATCCCAAAGCGCACTGAAGGCTAGAAAAAAAGATCTCAACGCGCTCAATAGGTGCTGAGCTTCATGCATATGAACTCTTAGCACGCAATGAAAACTGTCTTCTGTATCGAGTGATCTGCTAGCCAAACTGATAGTACCCCCGAGCAGCGCAAAAGCATTGCAGTTCATTTTGGTGCGATAAAAGAGTTTCCTTACAGCTCATGGCTTTCATAGCTTGCCATCGTCGCAGTCACGGTTAGCAGAAACAAAAAACCAACTTGTAAAGCACTGACATTAGCACCGAGAAGTTCTTTTTTCAACAGAGCGGTATACAAAAAGGCGCGGGTGCCCCTGCCAAGCCACGAGGTGCGTCGAACCGGAAGCCGTCGTGTCCCACAGTTCCCTGCGATTGCCACCTATTCGTGAACATGTCCAATCCATCGGAGAGTATTTTGTTACGCACAAAAAAAAGCCGAGTCGTGACGTCATGACACGCTTCACCACACCGTTGCATTGAACCCACGAGCATATTTCCAGCGTCAAAAGAAACTAATTGGACGAAGTGTAGAGTAACAGAACTCTTAAAACTTGGCAAGTCTGCACTTGTGCATTAACGTTTTGAGATGTTTGCAGAGCGATGCAGCGAATGGGCACATACCTTTCATGGGCGTCAGGCTGTTGGACAGCTGCGTTAAACCTAATTCTTGAGATAACGTGATTGGAGTCCATGCACGGCCTCAGAGATGTGCATCAAAATGCAGATCTCTGGGGGGGGGGGGGGGCAGCACTTCTGGCGAAGCGGATTCCGCCTTTCTCGTTTGTGCCGATAGCTGTGAAAGCTTTCACAACTATCGTAGCGTCATTTTGAAAGCGTTCAGAATGACGCTGCGGAAAAAAGATCGGAAACAGGGGGCGCGTTCCAGTCAATTAGGGGAGGCCGAATTGGACATGTCCACGAATTCCACACAACGAGAATAGCTCACTTGATGTACTATACTCATTGTCACCGTCATGGTCAACTTGCGGCGGGCACACTCTGCAGGGTGGGGCGCATGTTTCATTCAGGTGATAAGAGTTCGAAGCGCTAGCATAGATAGCTGTATAAAATAGGCTATGAAAAAAATTTTTAAAATCAAACAAAAATGTTATGTGCAATGTGGCTGTCACAAATATGCGACTAAATTCACTCGGCTACCTCTAATACTGTATTTTTTCTTTAACTCTTAGCTATAGATTGATCGAATACCCGATAAATATATATATATATACTGCGTTGTCAATTGTCCGCTTGCGCGCGTACAGTCGTGCGTGATATCAAAGTTATCCCACTAAAGTCGGCGTGCCTAATGCGCCAGGACTCTTGCGGCGCGTCTTGGAACAGTGACAATCAAGATTTCGATTTACTTCTCTCATTGTCTGTTCCAACCTTCAACAATCGTCCCTATGACAAACTCAACACACTTCCTTTTAATTTTAGTCTTCTATTTGCTGCAATTAGGTGTATTCTTCTGAGGCTCTTATCTCCACGGGCGATTACAAAATTGCTGGAAGAGATGTGTTAGTCCTCGTGCTCGGCATTGCTTCGTTTAAACCGCTTCCTTAGACGGGATTGATGATGTTTGATGTTTTGTGGCGCAAGGGCTGGGACTGATCGCTTGGTAAAGAAGAGCGAAATGAGTGAGTGAAGCTTGCGTTACGCATTGCTCTCCTCGAGAGAGCATTCCGAGACGTGGCGCTGTTGTAGTTCCCTGTCTATGCTCGCACAAAAACCTTCTAAGGACGCTCAACTGTACAGCGGGGGCTTATGAACAGACGCTATTCCATATTGTATACTGATATGGGGCGTTGTTGCTAGTATCATCATTGGCCTACTTTTATTTTTCAATCACTCATAACGTGGCACACGGCGCCGAGTACACTACACTTCATCACCACCCTGCATGGTGGAAAGTGATGGTAATGTCCATCTTGAGATCACCACCACCGAAGAGGCGCTCGGCTGTGCTCGTGCTGAAGATGAGGCCATTTCCGTTCTGGACACACTCGACCAAGGAACGGATGTCTCGCATACTGCCCTCAAATGTGAGCCGCTGATCAGATCCACAAAGGTTTAGCCGGTACTGAAAACGCGAAGCGTCCTTGCTCGATCCTACTAGCACAACGACCGCGAAGAACTGCTTGAAAGAGGAATTTTCGCTGATCCTCTTCAAGGTCACCAGGAAGTCGCGCCCATGGCACGTCTGAAGCACGAACCAGGTGAAGTTCTGCACTTTGTCGAAGCCTGTAGCCGTGACGACCACGTTCTCCCCTGCGCATTTTTGTGCATCAAAATGACCGCTTGCTTGCAGGACCAGTGTACGCAAACATCATGCACCCTGTTTCGACTGCTTATGAGCTCTGTCACTCAAATTTGAAAGAATCTGCAGACCGGAGATTCTCCGTAACACATGTAGATACCATGATATCAGTTTTTTAAACCAATGCTTCAATGCGTATATGTCGACTGTATCAATAGCGGAATATTTGCAACAACTCCGCGGAAAGCTATAAGTAAAGTAGTCTATGACTGGTTCGACTGCTCCATGGTAGAAACAAAAATAATTTTAGTATTAATTCTATCAAGAGGCACTGGACTTAGTTGGAGTGCGTTCATGTTTTGTTTGGTTACATGTTTGTCTCGCTGTTTCATCGGATGTTTGGTTTGGGTTCTTGCTTAGTTGGTTCACCACGCAATTCCTCAGTATGGTGTAATGAAAGCCACCTACCGCACACCATACACATAAAACATGCTCTTGTTTAGGTAATTGACACAGACGTAAGTGAAGATTGAAAAAAAAAACACAGCCCGCTGTTCTGTTCCGGCTCATCTACTCTCTCCCTTTCCTGCTTGTATAGCTATATGTCACGTTAACCACGGACACGTTTGAACGAAACAGCATAAAAACGAACGTTTTCGTTGCTCTGTTGCCTGCTACTCCAGTTACGTCATGTGTTTTACTATTTCTATTAACCTATTCATTTCAACTACCCAACTGACCTGCGGCAAAGTTTCAAACTTACCCCCCCCCCCCCTCCATGCTCCCTCTGAATGCTTTGCATGGTTTTATATTTCAAGTACAAATACAATCGCAAGTGCAAACATTCATACTGAAATGTTCAGCCACTAATGAGTTAGTACATTTGTTGCAGTACTTCACCTTGCATTCTTGGAATGAAGCTGTGCTTGCTAAGAATGTGGTCAACAAGCTTTTGTGGCCGTCCTCTCCAACTGCAATTATCCGCTCCGAGCACGCAGAAACACGGCCTGAAGTGCACGGAGAGAAATCATCTCAGAGTACATCATGGCAGGAGCATTTCGTGATGCGCCGAAATCACAAACTGGGCGGTTAGGCTAATGTGTAAAGTTCAGGTCAAGTCAAGAAACTGAATGTTTAGGGCTTGTAGATTAATGTGAACTTTCTGTAACGAAGGCTTTATGTCTGACATTCCAAGGTAGATATTAGAAGAAGGTGATCACTAATACCATACACAATCGTCCCACAAGCGACACCTAAACGTAAGACTGTCAGACGCCTTAGGAGTAAGGTTGGGCGAACAGTGAATTTAAAAACAGAATTGTATATTGGTACGAGGGAAATACTATTCTGATAGTTTACGAAATATAAGGCAACCATTTTCAAAGCAACACAGAATCCAAGCACTATAATTTTTCAGACAGCCCAAGAGTTCCACGTCATTTCCTTCGAAACAAGTACTCGTCGCTTCTAGAACATGAGCGTTACTATTACTTTTAGTTGATGAAATATACCACAATTATGCAAATTGTGTGAACCGCAGTAACACAGCCCTAAACGTACATTGTGCCTGCAGGTCGAAACGCAACAGTAACTTCCGTATTCTAGAAGGAGCTTTTTTAGCAGGTTTTCAATGAAACGAATACATAGATGTTAAATAATAATCATTTACAGACGGCGACACGGAGAGTTTCAAGCGAAAAATTGTTTCGTCCTGTGATCAATATAGTGTCTATAGTCACGTAAAATATTGGGTGGCATATGCCTGGGTGCTTCGACGACTAAAGCAAGAAAGGTGTCCCGTTATGTTGAAATGTTTTGTTTACTTCAGGCTTTTACCTATGCTTAATATTTGAAAATATTTTTAAACACTTGATCATCGAAATATTCACCAGTCATTATGAGCCTCGAACAAAAGAAATTGAATTTGATTCATTATTCTAAATTTTGTAATCCTCGCATATACCTACTATGCTTGTAATATGAAGCCCAAAACATTATAAGTAAAAACTGTCGAGTTGTATTCCTGATCAATACTATGATGAAAATAAAAGACGGCCTAGGACACGCCTGCTTACCCGAGGGGGCACGTCATTTCATGCGCGTGCTTGGCTGCTAATGCGAGAGTGGCTGAGCAGCCCAGGGAATGGTACTTGCAGGGGAACATACTTATCTCCGCCATCTGGTCCAAGGCCAGGTTCCGGTTTATGCCTGCACGCAGAGTGCCACAAATTGAACATTTAGGTCGTTCAACATCTCGCATTCAGCATGAACACACAGCATGGAAGAGCTCAACATTAACATCCTCCATTTTTTCCCAAATTTTCAGCTACTGTGGCCTCCACGCAAATAGCACAGAGGTCGGCTTGCTGCGTCGATCTATCCCTCTATTACCATATCCTCAGAAGTCACATCTCTAACACTTGGATCACAGCTGCCGTATGGTAAAGGACAAAAGTATTCCAACTGCACCGACTGAGTATATTGAAATGAAAGAATATGGGAGACCCTAACGCCTTGCTAAGGAGTTGAACGTGATAGCGGTGTGCTGTTTCGAGTGCGTACTTCAAACACATTTTGCATGAAACCTTTTAGAACTGCCTATGCACCCTCTACGTGACCTCAAGGGAATAGTTGCAGTAGCGCGTGGGTCTTTAGTAGTGGATGACTGGCTTTAAACCACGAAGCCATTATAATAATCGCATGTTCTTACCCGCGCTGGGCGTTTGTACCACATATTATTACTGCAATTTTTCATGTTGTAATGTGAAGCATGTATACGAGACGCGTGTGTTTGTAAAGCATGAAAAGCTACTTTCACTGCATTCCTAAGCAGAGGAAACTCTTTTCACTGTATTAACTAGCAGAAGCGCGGCATTGTAGTAGAACATTCGCTTGTCACGCAATGACCCGGGTTCAATTCTCACTCGGACCCAAACAACCCCTATTCAGTCCCCACTCTGGCCCCAGATTTGTTAATCGTTTTATTTTATTATTTGCATATTTCTCGACTTTTCGGTCACGCACAAGATGATTTTTCATTCACAGCCAATGACGCCGACACTTACATTGATACCCGCGCCGGAGTTATTGCGAAACGAGCCCTTTGACGCTTTCGCGTTGAAACCGTATGCTCTGTTGTGGATTTCAGGTGGCTCGTAGGAGAAAGACGTATTTCTTTTCTGTTGATTATATACCTTAATTGAGCTTTCAGCACCTAATACCAGTGTAATACGGCCACTCATATAGTCGCAGTTAGCTCTGACCAGGATCGATTCTGGCAGGGCTGGTAGTAAATTACGGCGGCGAAATAGCTGCATAAAGCAGCGACCACCTCCATTCTCCGAGAATAATCATGGTTGGGTGTTGCCTAAGACGACACTTTTATTCAAGAATATTGGCCAATAATGCACGTGTTGCATTCCGAATGGATTGAGACGTTGCCTTTCTCCTCACGAACAACCGACACCACATGTTATCATAATAGGCTATTGCAAACGAGAATATGATACATTCATCTGCACTAAAGTGATTTAGCAGTGAAATATGAAATACACATCCAGCGTACCTTGTTGACCTACTTTAAGCCGGCCATAAACCGCACAGCCTGCTTTATTACATTTCAGTACAACCTTTGGCTCAAAGTCACTATCATAAAATCAAATTTCGACATCAAATCATTGCCACCGCCGAAAAAAACTCGCTCCTCTGCCTCTATCATGAACTACGTTACAACTTCCGGCACTTCGGTGACCTGATTCTTTTCCCACCAAACCGCACTTAGCTCCTCCTGTCAAACTTCCTCAGTCTTCATAGAATTCATGGCTCTACTAATTCCTTCAACAACTTTTTGCCATCAACTTTTGAAGAAGGAAGTGGTTTCCCTGACCTTTTCGTAACTGAACCAGAACCCGTCAAATTTTGAAGCTTACTTACAAATTTATTGAGTGCCGATCGGTAAAGTTTCTCAGTTTTTTATCTAACTTTTCTTGTTCATTGAGCGCATTAATCTTCCTCTGTAGTTTGAATGCATTGAAAATTCGCCTCGTTCCTTTGTAAATGTCACTTTTGCTGTATTTCCTTAAGGACTGCATGAGTGTATTTTTATCCTCTTATGTACGCTCCCCTTTTACGTAGTACATCGACAAGGCCTCTTAAGGGTTAATAAATGACCAAAACGACCTCTATAGTTCAGTCCGGACTAGCAGATATTTATGGAAAACCGGTAACTGTTGGACAGAAATAAAAGTTATTGCTCCTGGTGTAGAAAAAGTTCTGCTTTCTAGCTCGAAAAAAAACGTATCTTCATGACAATGGTTGCCCTCATAGCACTGCGAAGAATCGAGATTCAAGACACCGTGCAAAAGTGAACACACTCGAATAATGCTTTCTGCGGACAAGTGCGGGAAGACTTCTGGAAGAAACGGTTCAAGTATCGTTCAAATTTGATGCAAACTTCAATGCACTATCATGTATATTTACATGTATCAGTTCGTAAAGTGGACATTTGTTCCTATAGTAGGTACAAAATTACATTTTGAAGCACGGACTAAACTCGTGCGCTATATTGTAATCAATGAACCAACCGATCGATCAAGTGAAGAAGACATATTCGCCTATTCGTTCCGTTTATGTAAATTCGCGTGCCAAGCATACGTTCGAAGCATGCGGTGCTCTTTCTGCTCACCTTTTGGTGCGTTGCATATTGGGCACCGGGAAACGCTTTGCTGGCAGCGGGTGCACAAATGATGTCCGTTTTGGCACTGCAAGATGGGTGGTAGTGCGTAGTCTCCGCACACCGGGCATTCCAACAGTCTTGACAAGCTTGCACTTGCCGTCGTCGTAGTCGTCGTTTGTGTCGCCATTGTCGCGAATGCATTGGTCACGGAGACCGTCCTTTCCGGAGCTTCTAGGACAGCAAAAAGAGTGCAACAAAATGCGCTAGCAAGCCTTCTTCAGAGAAAAAGATTTGCTAGAGGATTTTCTTAACACTCTGAGTAACTATTCCAAGTACACTTACAGGGCACTCACTACATCATGAATGACCGAATTTTTTCATGGGTGGTGGAAACGCATACACATTATCAATACTTCGGAGAAGCGTGTCGCCCACTATGCAATTGCAAGGAATCATGTGCCTTTCGTTGACGTCATGTCTAATGACGATGAAAAATTATTCCTTAGAATCTCGTAAGGGAGTGTGGCAGTTTGGGCTAGTTGGTATGACATGACGATAGTTATAGCACGAGAACAGAACGACGACACAGAGACATGAAGGACACGAAGGACACGAGCGCTCGTATCCTTCGTGTCCTTCTTCTCTTTGTGTCGTTGTTCTGTGTGCTACTATCGTTTTGTAAGAGGTTGGAGCTTTCGGCCGCCCACTGCTTACGCAATTTGAATTGTGAGACGGCTGGTTGCCTGTATGCTACTTATAAAACGCATCATTACACATATTAGCGTCATTTCTCACCCTACATGCAGCCTGTCTCAGCTTCCAAATGAATTATAAGCACTGGCGTAGCTCAGTGAGACATTTCATTTTGAAAGCAGAATACTCGGAAGAATACTCGGGTGCTTCCCGAGGTCCTCTGGTTGGAATGCCTTGGTATTCTTTATTAAAGACGATAGTCTTTCTTAGGGACCTTCGACAAAAATATTTTGGTCTGGCTGTCTGTCTGTCTGTCTGTCTGTCTGTCTGTCTGTCTGTCTGTCTGTCTGTCTGTCTGTCTGTCTGTCTGTCTGTCTGTCTGTCTGTGTGTCCATCCACCCTAACGATACCTCAAACGGCACCAAACGGCCAACCCCATCCGCAGTGCCCACCAATATTGCTCAATAGTTTAGCGTTCATAGTTGTGCGATTGTCAATTAAAAAGCAATTATTGCGCATGTCTGAGGCGCCACAACAACGCTTCGATGTTTTCCATGTCTGCCTTTATACTAGAAGAGCCACACACATGTAACTCTAAGGAATGTAGTGTTTATTCGCGCTGCGCTGACAGTGCAACGCGATGCTCAAAAAGG